TAGCAGTAAAGTGCCTTAGGCACCATGCTACCAGAGCTGCTATTGGGACTGCACAGAAGTAATGATAGTAGCAAAGTTGCTGCTTTGAAAGGAAAGAAAATGGGTGGGAGGAATTGGGGTACCCCTTATTTATCTGGAGTATATCTCAAAGTTGGTATTCATTTCTGAACAGCTGCTAATGTCAGTGGTTTGGGATTGGCATAGTGAATCTAAAGCTGAGCAGTGGTTAGCTGATCTCATTGAAGTTCTAAGCTTTACATTGGCCTGATCCTTTTTTCCTGAGCCTCAGAGCTAAAATGCTCCTATGCTCTTCCCTATTGGCTGGGAAGACCAATTGAAGTTCCCTTGCCCATGTTAGGAGGTATACGCCTCCTGAACTAAAGATAGAAACAGCTGGTGCTTCTAGGCAGCTAAAAGCCTCCAGACTAAGAGGTGTTCCCCATTCGGCAGCCAGACTCCTTGAAATACCCTTTCCATAATTCTACCAACGCCTCCATGTCTCTGCTTTGCTATAACAGAGGCTGTGGGCAACTCTTTGACCCCAATAACAACCTTCCTGGTGAGTGAGTAATCCTGATCTTGCTAGGGGTTTTGTGGGTATTGGGTGGTCGGGGGTGGGGTAACATCATAAAGTACCAAAGAAAGAAACTTGGACCTGCCTTAGTTTGGTCTGGATGATCTTCAACCTTTAATGATGACTTTACATTATATGGGAAACCAGAAGGATATAAGCCTGGGGAAAAGGTGAGATGATACTCTATAGTTCCCTTTCTTTCCTTGATCCTCCCTGTTGCTGTATCCAGATTCCTGTTGCCATCACCCTGGTGTCCCAATCTTCCATGATGCCCTTAAGGTGAGGAGTAGTAGGTGATGGGATAGCAAGAATATTTCCCAGAGGAAATCTAAATCTACCCCGGAATCTAAGCTGAGATGGGTCTCTTGTTATTAGGGTTGGTCCTGCTGCCGGAAGCGAACTGTAGATTTTTCTGAATTCTTAAGCATCAAGGTAAATCTTTTTCTTGGGTTCTGCCCCTAACAGAAGGATTCTATCCCTAATACTTATCTCCTTATCTATACTAGGGTTGTACTATGGGACCACATTGTGCTGAGAAGCTCCCTGAGGCCCCACAACCTGAGGGCCCTGCCACAAGCAGTTCACTTCAGGAGCAAAGACTTCTGAATATGAATCCAAAGTCAGCAGAGACTTTGCGCCAGGAGAGGCCCAAGTAAAGAGGAGGTTCCCGGGTTTTTCCTACATTTATGCAGCCTTCTAGGAGTGATCAGTGGGTCATTGAGATTTGGGAACTGGGAACCAGAGACGTGAGAAGGGCCAGGATGGTGTATATTCTGTACTTTAGGGAAAATTTGTGTCTAGAAATACCATTTGCTCTAGGTTGCCATGGAATGGTGATGGGATAGATATCTGAAGTCCACAGAGTAGACAGCCTCTAACAAATGCGTACTTGGTATACAACACAAGGGAGGTTGTTGAGAATGATGTGATTTCTTTTAAAATGAGCTTTAAGATAACTCATATCAAGAAAAGGATGTGGTATTGTCAACCAAGAGGCTGTGGAGTAGAATAATTTTGTGAGAATAATATGAGCAATAGAAGGTCATATTAAGTCTACAATTACAAAGGAAGGTTGGGATAAATAGGGAAAATGGAGATCAAGAATTTGAGATTATTAAATATTAGGGTCTAAAGGTCTGAAGAGTTAGAGGAAATGCAGTTCTGAAGAGCAGTGTGGTTAGATTTGGAGCAACTGGATGGGCAAGACAAGCCCTGGGGATTTCCCAGGGTTCAGGGATTTGAAATGTCCACAGACATGGAAATTGGCATTGGGATTACTGCCTAACACCTCCAACCCTGCCCCACCTTCACCAGACTTCTTTGACAACTGGTGGGAGTGTTGGGGCTGGTGATAATTGGTAATGGGTCAAGACTAAATCAACCCCCCATAACTCCTAGGTCAGAGTTGCCTCTGAAGCTGCTGCCACTAAGTATATCCCAGGCCCTGGCAATGGCATTGGAACAGAAGGAACTAGACCAGGAACCTGGGGCAGGTAGGTGGGTCCGTAGTAGTACTTGCAGACTGGAGTTTAGTGGATGTGGCCATTGGGTGGGGGTATGGATAGGTTCCTGACTCACTTTCCCTTGCCCAGGACTTGACAATAGTCTGTTTCGGACTGATTCCAGCTGCCAGAACCCAGGATGTGATGCTGTGAGTGAGAGTTTTGGGGGCTCAAGCATGTGGCTGAAAGGTGCTACACCTGAGGGATGACTGGGTATAGATGTGAGACTGAGTGGGATATACCTCAGAATGACCTGATTCCTGATTCCCCCTTGTCCTTAGGTTTACCAGGGCCCTGAGAGTGATGCTACTCCATGTACCTACCATCCAGGAGCACCTCAATTCCATGAGGGGTGAGGGTCGGGTCTGGGTGGGCTAAAAGACAAGATTTCTCCCAACTGATATTGAACATAATATGGGAGTGGATGTTTGTGGGTGAAAGGAAGATTCAGTTGAATAATCTTCCTACCTCAGGATGAAGTCTTGGAGCTGTTGTGGCATCCAGACCCTAGATTTTGGGGCATTCCTGGCACAGCCAGGATGCAGAGTTGGTAGACATGACTGGGGAAAGCAGGTAAGCCCCAACTTTGCTGAATTCTTGATTTGAACCCTGTACCTTATGGCCAAACTCCCTATCTTGTCCCCTTTGTGCATACCAAATAAGATTCTCTTGCTTATCTCAAGAGCTCAGAGGCTTTGCAATATGATGGAGGATTAATCTTTCTGAGATTTTTGGTTTCTTCTTCACCTGTACTATGAAGACTTCCCTTGGGTTAAGAGTTCATTCTCAACCATCCTCATTTCACATCTTATCTTTAGCTGCCAGCATCTTGCCGCCATGATTGGCACCAGACAGATTCCTTAGTAGTGGTGACTGTATATGGCCAGATTCCACTGCCTGCATTCAACTGGGTGAAGGCCAATCAAACTGAGGTGAGGAATTATCTGATGCTGCATGGGAGGCTAGTGAATTGGGTAATACTACAATCTTACAGGCAGAGTTATTGTGTGCAGTTAACCCACAGGCTCCATAGTTCTCTGAGAAGAAGGTAACACTATCAGATCAGGGTTGTATGGCTGGCCCTTGGATGTAGGCATCAAACCTCTGGCCTGGTTCTCTGCCATAATAATTTATTCTGACCTTTGGGTATTTGTTACTACCCCTGCAATTGCTTTTTTTTCAGCTTCATGTCCACATTGTCTTTGATGATAACCGTGTGTTCCAAGCACAGATGAAGCTCTGGGGGGTAAGTGAAGTTAAGTGGGCACAAGAGAGGGTGGCAGATGGGGTGAAAAGAAGGGCTAGACTAGAATGGATTGAGGGTGTCTTGAGGGAAGGAGTTGTAGTGGGAATGTGGAAGTTTTCTCTTTATTTGCTTTGATATTTTCTTTCTCTTTTTCTGTGTGTCTATCTCTCTTTTCCCTTATATTGTCTTACTCTTCCCATTTGTATTTTTTCCTCTTTACATTTTTTCTTTCTTTTTTTATCCCTGTCATTCATCACCCCCACCCCAAATCCCTTTGATTTCCTCATTCTTTCTTTCTTCTGTGTCCCTCTATCTTTTCCTCCTCCTCAGGTCATAAACGTGGAGCAGAGTTCTGTCTCCTTGATGCCATCTCGGGTTGAAATCACCTTGGTCAAGGCTGACCCGGGATCCTGGGTGCAGCTGGAGCACCCCAGTGCTCTAGCTGAGAAGGCTAGGACTGGGGTTGGGTTAGAGATGGATAAGGAAGAGTCTGAGGATTCAGATGATTTGAGCTGGACAGAGGAGGAAGAGGAGGAAGCTATGGGGGAATAGTGACACCAGATAGCCAAGTGTCTAGATAGGACCTCAATGACTTTTGGCACCTCAGAGACCAGTGTATTGTTGGCCATGTGGCGTCATTAAACAGCAGGGGACTGAAGGTGGGGGAAACAAAAGTGTCCAAACCATGCTTTTTTTTTTCTCTTAAATAAATCTTGTATTCTGCAGATTTATGTAGTGTCATTCTCTCACCTCACTAAGATCTTTTAATTCCCTCCAACTTCTATGTGTGTTTAGCCCACATGTGTGAAAACAAGCACAAGCACAATTAGTCTATTCTTCACAAACATCAGTTATTTACTGAGTACTTCTGTGTGCCCAGGTATGTGTTAGGTGGTTTAGAGATACCTAAAAAACAAGATTCATTCATTCCTCTCAAGAAATTACAATTTGGCTAGCAAGTCAAGACTAACTTGCATAGAATAATAATAAACATTACTAGGCCATTTAACTGAGTATTAAATTGTATAGTACAGTTTTTAAGAGCTGCAGGAGTTGAGAAAATGTGGATTAATATGGACTGGATTAGTAAGGGAAGACTTTGTGAAAGAAGTACATTTTTTAATAGCTTTATTGACATAATTCACATATGATAGTTTACCCATTAAAAATATATAATTCAATAGTTTTTTGTATATTCATGTGTTGTGCAACCATAATCAATTTTAGAACGTTTTCATCATTCCAAAAAGAAGCCCTGTGCCCATTAGCAGTCACTCCTCACATCCGCTAAACCTACAACTCTAAGCAACCAATAATCTACTTTCTGTCTTTATAGATTTGCCTATTCTGGACAATTCATATAGATGGAATCATACAATATGTGTTATTTTGTGACTGGCTTCTTTCACTTAGCATGATGTTTTCGAGGTTCATCGTGTTGTCATTTTTATCAGTACTTCATTCTTTTTTATGCCTGTTGTTGTTGTTGTTCTTAAGTGCCGTCGAGTTGTTTCCGACTCATAGCGACCCCATGCACAGCAGAATGAAACATGCCTGTATAGTACTTCATTTTATGTACATATCAAAGTTTGTCTATCCACTTATCAGTTGATGGACGTTGGGTTGTTTCTACTTTTTTGCTATTATAAATAATGCTGCTATGAACACTGGTGTACAGGTTTTTATGTGGACATATATTTTCATTTCTCTTGGATATATAGCTAGGAGTGAAATTGTTGGGTCCTGTGGTTTAACTTCTTGAGGAACTGCCAGATTGTTTTCGAAAGCAATTGCACAGTTTTATATCCCTATCAGCAGCATATGAGAGTTCTAGTTTCTCCACAACATTGCCAGTATTTGTTATTATCTGTCTTTTTTATTATAGCCATCCTACTGAGTGTCTTGTTGTGGCTTTGATTTGCATTTCCCTAATGGATAATGGGAAGAAGCTCTGGTGGTGCAGTGTTTAAGGCATTTGGCTGCTAACTGAAAAAGGTCAGCGGTTCAAACCTATCACCTGTTCCACAGGAGAAAAATGAGACAGTGTGCTTCCATAAAGATTTAGAGCCTTGGAAACCCTATAGGGGCAGTTCTACTGTGTTCTGTAGAGTGGCTATGAGTCAGAATCAACTTGGTGGCAGTGGGTTTTTGAATGGCTAATGGGAGTCCCTGAGTAGTACCAAACCAAACCAAACCAAACCAAACCAAACCAAACCCACTGCCGTCGAGTTGGACCCGACTCATAGTGACCCCTCCTTGGGTTTCTGAGGCAGTATCACTACGGAAGTAGATTGCCCAACCTTCCTTCCGAGGAGTGGCTGGT